GACATCCACGACTTACCCGCCTTTTTTAAATATTATGATAGCAAAAACGTATGGCTTTTTTTATACATTAAAAACTATGAACATCACCATTTAAATTTTAAGGAATGAAAAATAATTAAATCATCTTATTGTGAATAAACTTGTCGACTAGATTTTTACTAAAATTACAGAAAATAGGGGTAAGAACCAGTGGCATGCGCAGGGGGTATATCCCCCAATGGGCTTTTTTTTTAGTCTTCAAATATGACTGGATTTTGGATCTCTATTTTTTTTTTTTTTGTATAATAATAAAGATTGAAAATAATACATTTTTTTTATGACATCCCTCCCCATACCAAATGCCTGGGCACTCCACTGGTAAGAACAATACAATATAATTATCTTCAGTACTTCAGCCATCTTTATGTTATCTTTATGTTCCAATTGGAAAACAAATAAATTAGAAAATAAGTAGGTGGTAAACTGAATTATTTAAATTCAATATAAGCTATTGTCAACAACTAGCAAGTGACTCATGCTAGGTCATTTAAAGAAAACTGTTTGGTATCGTCGCAACGGTAACATTTAAGGTGGTTCTCCTCCGTCGATTAATTGTGGGGGAGAGTGTGTCCACCAAGGACTTCAAGAGAACGTGCGTTATTACACAATCATAAACGTTCAAGTTAATATGCGAACGGTTTATTAATCTGAATCTCCGATCATACCTAACTTAAGTAGATATAATGCATTAAATATTGCATATTATGTGTTACTCTAACTTGGATGATGTATCATGTTATATTATATAAATACGATTGTCATAGTTATGTATATAACATTTGAAATATATCACTAATTTTTTAGGAATAGTAGAAAAACAAAATAATAAATAATAATATTGTATTATAATATATTGAACCAATGTCAGGGTAGTAGGTTAGTTTTTCAAGAGAGAATGGCCACGGCCTCGAAATACCTGAACAGTACCCGTGTATAATCGGCGGTTAAACGCATGATAACTATGCGGCTCAAAATTGATGTAATTGGTGCCTGGTGGTAAAGGTTTTTACTATTGCAACTTGAATATTTAATATTGCATAATTATATTCTACAATTTAAAATAGTTTTATGAATTGTAGTTTGAGGAAAAGAAAAATTCAATAACAATTAGCCACAATTTTTTTTCTTTTGATATTTTAAATTAAATACATAATGCATTTAAACCGTTATGCAATTTTATTCATATTATGATTAACTATTAAGTGTAATAAATATAAAGATGAGATAATTTGTTTTGAATATTTAAACTTAGATAGAAAATGTTATCGTCAAACATTGTTAAAAATATAATTGGGTATCTAAAATATGTGTAGGCGTCATTGCAAATAAAACTCATTCAAACCTTTTAATGTTACTTTCCCGCTGTATTTTCATTGTTAATATAACTTTAAAGAACTGCAACACAAGTGGGTGGAAAACTTCTATGGAACGTCGACCGGAAGGAGATGACCCGTTTTCATTCCGGTGGCGTATATCCGAGTTTTAAGTGTTTTGAAACCTCAACGTCCTCAACATTATAATATTATAATATTTATAAACGAATACTGCAGAATGTATCTAACATTCAAATTTAAAAAAAGTTAACTTCAAGTTTAATTGTACAAACAAGATTACAATAGTTGATACATTTTATAAGTAGTAAGAACTTATATAATATTATTTTTATATGTAACCAAAAAAAAAAATGATAATAGGTATAAACACTCTAAACTAGAAATACTATTAAAACAATAATTTATATTTTCATATTTGACYAGTGATATTGCTGGTGTAAGTTTAGTCTTTTAAATAGATTTGCAACTTTCGATTTGGGTATACATATTATTTTAATAGCTTAACTCAATAGAGAATGTACTATCTGTTATTTACGTTAATTTTATTAAAACCGAGGTCCCGCGAATAAAAACGAATTTCTGAAGGAATGACCTTACTRCGTCATTGGGTACAACAATATAGATCTGCCAAAAACAACGTACTATTACGCTCTGTTTTAAGTTTTTTGCCTAATGTGGAACGTCTCGAACAAACTACAGTATGATAAGTAATAACTAATAAGTATACAAGGTAAACAATCAATATAATATGTTTATAGATGTGGTTAAAATCATAAAAACTACTAAGAAAATATATAATTTAACTTTCTTTACAATAAAATAAGGATTTATATTGTTCTTCATTAAAMAATATCGATCTGATAATCGTTAATAAGTCATTCTTAACTGATTTATTGCGTGTTAGCAATTTATCTTATATACGACGGTCGGCGTTTGAACACATGCGCTATAGACTGGATATAATTGTGAATCACATTTTAGAACATAGTTGAAAAACAAAATCCACCAAACATTTTTCTTCTTAAAACACCCCAAAAATTATCTTAAATTATTTACTAAAAAATGTGGTCAATTACATAACACATTTTTGTGTACAAGTCATATATTTATTTGATCAAGCAGTAAAAATTAATAGTATTTTAAGTGAGCTGCAATGTTAAGTGAAGTATGGTATACCACAATGAACAGTATTAAATTCTATATAATTTTCAATCTATATAAATGATTTACAATACATAGATATAGAGAATAATGCACTACTATTTATTATTAAATCTTGATGAGGATAATTCTCGGGATAATTTAACCGAGTCATTGAGATGGAAATGAAAGCTAACATAAGGTGTCAGTGGTCTACAATAAATARCGTATTAAATATAGTTATATGTTGAATAAAAAAAATAAGTTTTTATACCTTTTTGCGTAATCAAATTTTAACATAACAGATCATATTACACTTTAACTAGGTACGTACTAATAAGTGGAAAAAATAATATAAATTGTAATGTAAATGTATTTAGATACAATTATTATATTTATAYAACCAGAGTAATCGTAGTCAATACTTATAATATACATTATACATATACTATTATTTGATAGATTTTATTTTAATAAATTAATTGTAGTAACAATTTACAATCAACTAGCAATCTAAATTCTAGAGTCGACGTCCACCACAATTTCTTTTAGACAGTATCGAGGTATTCAAGGTTGTAACTTAAAAGTTATAAGTATTAAGTATTAACGAATAAATATAATGTTATTAAGTTGAAATAAATAATTTTAATGCTTTAACTTGTGTAAGCAGAAAACTTTGTAGATATATATTACATYTATCCTTAAAATTAAACTTTCAATGAAGAGTAAYTTAAGCTTTATACTTTAGAACAAAAATAAATTATTGATATGAATAGTCGGATTATTGATTAGTAATACATTAATAATACCTCGAGTAATAGTCTTTGTTTATCCTATTTATTTTCATAACAATGAAAAATACAGAACTAGGACTTTCAATTGTTATAATAAATATGAATATACTGCTAAATTGGTGGGTTAAACGTTTTAGGCGAAAAATAATCTTGATATTATATACTTACTTGTAAGTGGCTAGATATTTTTTCTGACAATTTTTAAAGCTAATACTGTTTAAAAAAAAACTTGGAATGGTATTATGTAGATAGGTCAAGAATTACTTTTCATTCGTCAAATATTATGACATTTTTTAATTAAGAATAGGAATTAATAATTATTCATAAATCAAGTTACCAAATAAAAGTAATAAAAGTAATAAAAACTATTAAGGTGTTAAATAATTTGATTATTTTTTTGAAAATGTAGTAGGTACTTAAATTATGTAATTTAACACGTTTAATTGTAGTTGAACATAAATATAAAATAAATTGTCCAACAAGCTAATGGTTTCACCTTCAAGTATCATTAGTGATACATTGTGCATCAATCATTTTAAAAGTAGGATTCACGGCAAAGTATTTTTATTTAAATTTGTGTAAGTATCCAATATTAGGGAGTAACTTAATTACAAATTACTGTAAGTAACTTACACGTAATATAAATTACATTTTGGTAGTAATGTTACAAAACTAGTCGTAACTTTAAAAAAAATATATATATCAATATATATGTAAATATTATAACATGATATCATATAAGTATTTTGTATTTTTATTTATAAATAAAATACTCTTGACTGACATTTTTCTTATACCTATTATTATTGCCTATTTTACTTAATGAATGTTACTTAAAAAAAATAACTTTTATAATAAATACCTAAATTATTTTTTAACTCCAAAGTTATGTAACTTGACTCTASCCTATAAAAAGTAACTTAACGTAGTTTAGATAAAATTTTGAAAAGGAATTAGCTCGGGAATTAGTAATGTAATTTAATTACCAAAAAAAGGTAACTTCCCCAACACTGTATCTATCTAGACTGAAAACAACAATTTGACCTATTTATAAATAACTTCTTTAAAAATTATCAAATTAGGTAACAGAATTAGGTACTATCGTGGGTTTGTATATTATAATTTACATTATTAAATAATATATTTTGATACTTCTGTTGCGTTAAATGCGTTGTAGCAGCTGGAACGCATTAACTATCAACAATAATATAATATTAATTATTTATAACGTCGAGAGTAAAGACGTCAGACGAGAACAAAATATGTCATTATCTCAATACAGGCTAAAACTGTAAATATTAAATATTATGGAAAAACGAACGTGAAAACCCGAACTCGGTAGACCGCAAATAGAACTTGCTGCCTGCCATCCACAAAGAAAGCGAAAACCAAACGCCACCTACTCCTCTTAACCTCCCACTACGCAAATAGCAACGCGACCCGGTCATTTCAAGMCACAACCGGTCCGTGGTGGTCCGCCCCCGGATCGAACCAAAATTGGTCATGCCGATGGTGTACGACCGATATAAACATCAGTAATAATATATTTTATTATTTATTGCAAATATGTTAATAATATACCATTTCAAGACAAATATTGTATTCAACCCGGCAGCCATACACATATCTTTTACTGATTACTGATAAGTAATTAATAATTATACTATTATTATTGTCACACGTCACACTGACCTGCATTATAGGTAACGGCGTGCCCTGTTCGACGGATTTCATTTTCGACTGAAAGTCTCTGTAAACGTGCCTTCTTCTGTAGAACGAACAGATACCGTTTCTGTTGCAACTGTGATGATGGTAACCGTCGCTCCACATATTGTTATAAATCTTACGAAATTTACGCAAGTCAAAAATTGGCCTAAGTGTTGTAGTGCGATTATAATATTATCAATTGATTCAAATATATAAATGGTAACATCAAATAGGTTGGAAAAAATGAAACGACAACGAAAACAGTTAATTAATTAAAAACATTAACAATAATTATTTTTGGGACGAATGTTTGTTTGTCGCGACGATTATGAAAATTATAAACGCAATGAACTAGGAAGTAGTAGGAACAACAGTACAACTGTTGCAATCCTCAGTCGGCAAACTTTTATCTTCGAAACCGATTTTTTTTTTCGTTTGAATAAAACGTCCGGATTGTTGGTTGTTGGTTTCGCGCAGTGCACCGGCAACAACGGCTTCGATTGGCGCAGCTTGTGGTCGCCTGACGCCTTTAGACCTAAGGTAAGGTTGTCGAGTTGATTTGGTGGAGGAACCTACGCGACGTTGTCAGTTTTCCTACGTAAACCGAGGCTCGTTCGTGTCCATTATAATAGATAAGGCAATTTACTATTTTAATAGCATGATAAATTAAATTAAATTTATCACGGTAAGTAGTATCATTACTCATTAGTAGTCAGTAGTCACCACGAACTAAGATATATATTTATATTATATATATCTATCTTAGTCCGTGATAGTCACTATAATAAAAAAAATAGTAATTTGTTTACCCACGATTTAAGAAAGAAGATAGTTCTTTCTAAAATCGTAGTTCAATAGTAGTAAAATGTACCACTACTACCACAGAATAAAATAATTTAGTACCACAGATATATATACCAGATTGCTAACTGTGATAAGACTTAAAGTTACCATCCGCCAATTAAAAAGAGGCCAATGGGTCTTATCACACGTATTGATTATTATTATTATATTTAATTATTATTATTATTATTATATTTAATTATTATTATTATTATTATATTTAATTATTATTATTGATCACACGGACTTGATTCTATTAATAAAAAAATTATTTTGGCGCCAAAAATATATTTTTTCAATTTTTTGTTTTTCACTTTCTAAAATTGTGTGAATTAATTTATTTTAATTATGCCTTCAAGTTTTGCAACTTGCGACTATGGTTGTAATAATCGAGATGGTCTTCCCAAAAACATTAACTTATTCCGATATAATGTGTAAAATTATTTATTATACCTATAATGGCTTATTTTACCTAAAATTATGTGTTCAAGATTTCCTGATAATGACTATAGTAAAACCGAAAAAAATCTTCAAAGAGAAAATTTCACAGAGTCCAAATTAAGTAGACTCTGTAGTGCCCATTTTAGATTGTCAGAATTTTTTGAAGCTTCTGAAAAATTAATATTAAAAGATAATGCTAGACCTAGTATTTTTAATTTTCCGACAACCCCTATTAAGAAAGTTGGAAGGAAAAAATCAATTGGTACTGTTCTCTTTTCCAGTAATAACAGTATTGATCACAGYTATAGTCGACCGAGTAATCTATACATAACATAACTACTAAAATATTAATATAAATGTGATTTTATTCCTAGGTACATCTTTCAATAATCAATTGTTGAACAATATTTCCAGTAGTTCAATTTTGGTAACTGATTCAATTATTGTATCTGAAAGTATAGTACTATGTTGTTTGACTTTAAGACCAAGTAAATTGAATACCTATTTGAATATTTATTTTTTTTGTAATTTCACTAAATTTAACCCCAATATTAGTGTAGTTAAAGAAAAACAAATTATGAAATATTACTTACAGATAGTTCACCACATACTCCACAATACACACCTTCACTTAAAAATAAGCGCAAGAGAAAGATATTTGAATCTCCACATAAAAGGAGCCTAAAAAATAAGGTAAAACTTTTGCAACAGAAAGTTCGGAAACAAAATTTTAAAACAACTACTCTGGAGTTGTATTATTAATGATAATTGTAAATTAATATGGTGATTTAAAAAAAATTAGTAACTTTGCTTAGTCTATTGTAATATAATATTAGGTTTTTTGTTTTAACCTGATAYGTTAGGCTTGTGTAATTTTATTGGACTAATTTTTTTAACTATTACCTATATCAAATGTGTAATTATAGCTTGTTTAAAATGTATGTATGTACTATGTTTGTTACCTGTAATTTATTCTTATGTTATTTTATGGAGATAAATAAAAAATAAAAAATAAAAAATAAAAAATAGGTCTTATAATATTTAGGTAATAAAAAAAAAAATAAAAGGTTAGGTTTTTTTTCACTTTTTCATTGTTATTAATAAAACAGAATTCTGTCACATTATAGGGTGTCCACCCTATAATATAAACCACTGGGTATCCTTCCTAGTCACCTAAATCATGTTACCTGTTTTCTTTTTACTTGTCATTTATCAAACCTACTTACTATACAAAAATATGTATAGATTGTAGATTTATTTAATAAAATAAAAAAATAAAAATAAAAAGTATATGCTTACTTATAAATTTAGTCAAGATGCTCTAGTYATTTTTTGGTTTTATGCAAGGAAAATTTGGACATAACAACAATCCAAATTGTTTGCAATTTAAGCATGCACTTAAAATCATTTTAATACATAATTCAATAAAGACGAGTTCTGCTTCTGGCAATTGTACACTATTATCACCAAATGAAGATTCTCTTTTTGCGATAAAATGGAAATATAATAAACCAGAAGAACAAGAAAATGATGATGTGGATTATTTTTATTAGTAGAACAACTAATAATACATTTCTTAATTTAATTACTGAAAATATATTATATTATATTAGTGGTTATGTTGTGAAAAAACTCATACCGATCTTAAAATGTAAGTATTGTATTGAAGCCATTACGTACTCACCTGAGTATGAAGATCATTCTTACTGTAATAAAACAGATATTATGAAATCTTATTTCTACAACACAATGAGGAGGGCTATGGCTAGCTTCAAACAATGTTTTCAAAACTATCTAACAGAATCCTTATTTAAATCGTTTATAATTGAAAAATAACAGTTCCTTGTTAAAAATATGGATTTGAAAATTATGATTTATGTTCAAAATACATTAGCAATATCTATGACCTATGTAAGAGGCAAAAGCTAACAAAGTCTATTTTATTTTATAATATGTAACTTTTCAATATAATATACCATTATACCTACAATTCTTGTAATAGTTTTTATTGTTTTATTAAATTATTATTATTATATTGTAATCCTGAATTCAATTAATAATATTATTATATTACAGTGTTTCAGTGTAAAACCATTTGGTTACTGGTTAGACGTTAAATTATGATTAATGATTATACTATTCATTTTACCATGATAAATTGATAAATTAATTAATTTATCATGCATTTTACTATACTCGGTCCGGCGAGAGAACGCACCTCGGCGGCGACCAAAACTCGTCGGATTTCGCGCATTCCCACCACTAACCAGCCCGAGCATCATCCGTCGTACGCGGTCGTCGTCACCTCCGACTTTGCCGGTCGTGAAAAGGCGCTGCGGTGCTCACCACTGGTCACCGCGTGGTGGGAGAAATTCACCTCGAGACGGCGGAGCTCCGTCATTTGGATGCGCGAACGAGGTGCGTTCTCTCGCCGGACCGAGTATATATTATTTTAATTTTAGAAAATAATTATATTTTATTTACAAGATAAAAATCATTCTACGTTATCTTTTAAACACAAGTGATAACAAACGATGTACTCGTTTAAAATGGCGGCCAATGACTTCAACTAATTACACCATAGACCTTATACTAAGGTATATATAGTACTATAGTAATAGTAAATAGTAATAGTAATAGCACAGACTATATGAAAATATATATAATCTGTGGTAATAGTAATAGTACTATAATAGTATGAGGTCTATGAATTACACAGACGCTGTATCAATCTAGTTTATTCTATAATATATCTGTTTAGTAAGGAGTRCCAGTTAAAAATTAATAACCGTCCGTGTCTCCGTGATCACAACCTAAATAAGCCAAAACAGATGACAATGTCTTGTCGTAAAAATATTAATTTAATACCATTTTTATAGTGTGGTAATTCCATAATATAGCTAGCAGCAAGCCAGCAAGTCTTAAATCGTGGTTCATAGTATTAAATTATTATAGTTAGGCCCGGTTTTCAACAAATTGTATTCAATGAATTTATCACTTTATTTACTCAGTATTTTTTTATTATTTTATATTAGACAGTAAATTTATGTACTATGTAGTAGTAAACATGGATAATATCATAGAACATATATATTATGTATTTATGTCTATGTAGTTAACCGTTATTTTTTCGTCCATGATCCCGCGGTTTAAACGGTGTATGATAATATGTTATCAAGATTTTTTCGTTATCGTTGAAAAATAAAATAATCAATCGAAGATTCGAGAGCAATTTATGCTGGAGAGGAGACGTCACTACGTCAGGACGATAATGAATAATGTTTACGAATTAAGAATTCCTGATTTGGATTCCATCGTACATAACACACTWATATAGCCGTAAACAATTAATAACTCTCCGGAGTTTAGTGTCTAGACCCTTAAGTTCGGACCTAAAGCGAAAATGTGAGACAATTTAAGGCATGTTGGGCCGTAAACAAAGCATCCGGGCAGATATAATGGCTCCCGACTACGTTCAGGATGAATCTTTAAACGAGAACGCTGAAATCGATTGGGTGAATAAGGTAAATTCGACTGCCTTCCCCCCCACGAATATAATAATTGTTTTCTAAATTAACCCTGTATGTTTGATCCTATAGCTTTGGGTCCGTCGGTTGATGCGCTTTTGTGCGCTTCTAAGTTTACTCTGTGTCAGTCTCAACACTCCAAAAACTTTTAAGGCTTTTCCATTTCTACAGTATGCGACGTTCATMTGCGATTTCGCTGTCACTGGTTTGTACACTGCAGAAATGATTGCAAAAATGCACATTCGCGGAATATTAAAGGTATTAGTAATTTTGTTGACATGTTAAGTAGTAATATATATATAATTGTTATTGCTGTTTTATACAGGGAGATTCACCATACCTGAAAGACCACTGGTGTCAATTTGATGGTACAATGGCGTTTTTCCTTTGGGTGTCTGTAATTTTACAGATTTTTGAAATTGTGGAATTTTTACCCGAATTTAGTTATTTATCAATACTACGAGCACCAAGGCCATTCATAATGATCCGATTTATACGTGTCTTCCTTAAATTCTCAATGCCAAAATCCAGAATAAATCAAATTTTCAAGCAAGTAGTATATATATATACATACATATATTTGTTTTTTAAGTTTGAATTACTCTTTATTTAATTTTTCTAGGCGATCGAGTCAACAAATCTACAATGTAACACT